CACACACACACATACACCACCACCACCTCTTCATTCCAAATAGGTTTGTGGCATCAGTCACAACAGAACTCAAATGTCTTTATTTCTGTCTAACTCTCTCCATCTCTTCCTTTTTGCCCCCATCATTGATTAACCCTGATGTATAGTATAGTACATTTACGTCATTTAGCAGACGCTCTTATCCAGAGCGACTTACAGTTAGTGCATGGCATTTTTTTCATACTGGCCCCCCGTGGGAATCGAACCCACAACCCTGGCGTTGCAAACGCCATGCTCTACCAACTGAGCTACCTCCCTGCCGGCCATTCCCTCCCCTACCCTGGACGAATTGTGCGCCGCCCCATTGTCTCCCGGTTGCGGCCAGCTACAGCAGAGCCTGGATTCGAACCAGGATCTCTAGTGGCACAGCTACGATGCAGTGCCTTAGACCACTGCGCCACTCGGGCGTATAATGCATATAATGCATAGTGTCTTGCATTATATGCATTTGTGGTGTAGGAGCATGTGGTGTACATCTGAGTGTCAAAGAAAGTCTCAATGTGCATGTATTTGTGTCTACTTGTCTGTACCCGTGTGTGTGTGTGTGTGTGTGTGTGTATTTCTCATTGGGGATAATGAATGGCTTCCAGCGATTCGATACAAACAATTATTAGCCTCCTCGCATCATCAATCTCCACAGAGTTATCCTGAACAACAGCAGAGGCACCACCACACACACACACACACACATACACACAAATCCTGATTTCTCAGCTGGAGAAAAACAGCTAAAAATCAAACCGTGTGTGTGTGTGTGCAAGATGTAAAAATGCAAAAGCCTCTTCGAATCAGCCCAGTGTGGCTGCGTCCTCTAGTGTCTATTCAGTCACATTACAGTGCGAGAGAGAGAGATAGTATCTATTAACTTGCTTTGGCTATGTATACATGTTTCCCCTGCCAATAAACCTATTTTAATTGAATTGAGAGCGAGCGAGAGGGGGGAGGGCGGTATGTCTCCTGTTCTAAAGGTGAAATTCCTTCCAGATTACCTATTATTTACTCAGCGCCAGACTGTAGCCTATTTAAAGAATAAGAAAGTCATTCAAATCCGCAAGTGTAGAAATTAGACTAGCCTACTTTAGGAAGACGTTTAGAGCTCGAAAACGTTTTATCGCAAGTGTAGAAATTTGACTAGCCTACTTTAGGAACACGTTTAGAGCGCGAAAACGTTTTATTGCCTATAAGGCCAAAGCAAATTCTTACTGAATGTCGGTTTGTTTAGAAGTCTGCGTACATTCAGCAAGGAAATGACCCTCACCTTATCTCGGTAGTAACCTTATCTAATCGATTCCCTAACGGTCTTTTGTTTTCAGAAAGTGAAACTCTTCGCTGCACCTGTCCTGTCCAGTTCCCATGCTCAAAGGTGACCTTGGGTCACACCCAAGGGCGAGAGAGGCGGGAGAGAGGAAACCCATTTCACTCGGAGAGTGCCAGGAATGTCGGATCTGCCTCAGGAATGGAGATGTGCGATGTATTTAAATTCCTTTCTGCATTTTTACCGCCTGTGTTTTAAGCCTCCCTCCCGCCTCAATTGGTTAACGGAGGCTAACCAAACGGGAGCCGCCAGCCAGGAAGTCTGATAATGTCAACACATGACACAGCTAAGGTAGAACTCAGATTTCTCCGTGGAGAGAAGGATAGAAAGGAAGAGGAGACAGAGGGGCCAAAGGTTCCTGGCCAGAGAGACTCGAAGAGGACGAAAAAGACAACAGAGTAAGTGTCTTGATTAATTTAAAACGTAGTTTTTTTTAAATTACTGTTTGGAAAAAAATAATCAAGCTGTAATTGCTTCTTTGCAAATGATATACTAGGGAACTGTGAAGTCCATACATTTGCAGCAATTTTAGGTCAGTGGGCTGATATCATTCCATATAATTTGGACATGTGTTTGGTTTTACTATTGTTTTGTGTTTTTTTGTTTTATCTTTTAGCCTTCTTGTTCAGCCTAGGCCCACTGCGTTTGAACTTGTATTATTTTATCAAATGCAAGACACGAACTTTCGAGGTGTTTTATGTAACAGTCAGATAGTTCAGCTCTGGTTCATCTGTAAGGGACTAGCTCACACATGCATGCTCCCTGACATTTAAAGTAACTGTCCAGTGTTTCCGATTTCTATTAAATATAACCTATAATTATTTTAAAATATGAGTTAAATAATTTCTCTTCCAAAAAATGGTAATGAAGTATTATAAAAAGCAATTTTGGAATGGTGTGGGCATACCCCAACAACAGAATGGTGTGGGCATACCAGTCATAAAGAATATTCATAAAAAGGCGTGGCTTAACGTGACCACGCTCCTGAGTAGGGTACAGATGAATGGTACTCCCGTTACTCCCATGTATTTAGCCTAACTTTGGCATCATCCTAAGCAAACTACTGACAGTTTTTTGTCATTTCAATAAACGTTTTCAGCAGCATCACGTGTAGTTATTAACAAAATGATTAGCATGATACTTATTCTGCCACTCTAATGTGTTACCCGACCTGCTAACACTGACAGTAAAGCTATTAAAGCTGTCGCATAATACTTACCTCACTGTTTGTTTACCACTAGCTTTTTCGCCAGTTAACTGACATTAGCTGGCTGGCTAGCAAGAGAAGTTAATCTCGATCTAATTTGCTAGTCTTAGATATGCCACGTAACTACTTCCAGTCTTTGCCTGCCCTTGAACGGTCTAGGTATTTAGAAAAGTGTATTATTGTTCGTTTGCCTATTTGTTCTTTCAACTTACCGGAAACCAGCTGTGCAGACAACCCTACCAAATGGCCCAAAGTAGCCTATGGCAATATTTACACCTACTTGGTGGAATTTCCAGGTTTGCACAGGTAATACACATAGCTAGTTAGATACAAATAAGTGTTAGCTAGTGACTTATCATGAATGAAGTGCATAGAACACACAAATGTATTGAGTAACCACAGCTCACGGCTTTCCATCATCATCGCGGCATATAGCATGAAACCATGAGGTTCGTCTAACCTGGTCCTTGGGCAGTTGATTAAACTTAATTTGGTGGTCTTTTCTCCTACTATTGTTCAAACAAAACAGTACGCAACAGTTTTTCTTCATTTTAGCTATAAAAGCAGGGTTAGTTAGCTAACATTAGCTAGCTGAAGAAAGTCTATTGGAATCGGCTCTTTGGCTGATAATCATCATAGACTGTAGCATGGAATGTTCATGCTAATCTGTTCATGCTAACATTTTTATGTTTAGAGTCAGTGTTTTTAGGTATGATGTAGTTTATTGATTAAGACGGCATGGAAGTATGTTAAAAACAACCAACCAAGCATATACAAAATGTTTATAGAATGGAGTAACGGGAGTACCCTACGGCTGTACCCTACTCGGGGGCGTGGTCACGTTAAACCATTCCTCACCGTGTGTATCTATGCGAGTAGACCGCTGATTTGCCAGCTCAGTCAATGAGCCAACATAACATAGCAAGCATTTTTGAAACGGTCTGTTTGAGATACAAGTTTGAGGTGGGGTTTTTGAAGAGTTTTTGCTTTGGCCACAAATATGAGTATAGGACTAGTCAACAACATTATATGGGTATGAGTTAACAGAATATTAACTTTTAAAAGTGAGATTTTCACTGGACAGTTACTTTAAACGTCACCTAGGAAACATAGTTGTGCTGGCAGTTGTATATATCCATAGGCCTCCATGCATGTTCAGATTTGTTCCTTTGCCAAATAAGTCAACCTTCTTAATCCCATACCAATCCCTCTACAAACGGTCAACAAATCTGTGCTATAAAGCATTGACTTTACTGTACAAGTATTGAGTTGGGGTGGGACTGGCAGATGGTTGTGACATTACCAATGTTTGCAGTGAGGTCATAGGCTAACCTATTGCATAGGCGAAATTGACAACAGGTCAATTTGTCCCCCCCCCCCCCACAATAATGTATTTGTGTTTCCAGATCATCCTGTGTGAGGAAATAGCAACTTCCACTTATCCTTCCACTTATAGTGTGTTTTCAATATACCCCTCGAGGGCCATAATAAGTCATGTCAAACTGTGTAGAATTGCAGGAAATCTGTTTTAAAATGTCGGACCCCCCCGTCTACTATTCGTCCCCACCAGTATCTACACCACAATTTCGGCCTTGACCTATTGTACAGCTAAATCCCCTTGAAGGCTTAAAAATCCTTCTTTCATCTGTCTCCTCCCCTTTATCTACACTTTTAACAAGTGACATCAATAAGGGATCATAGCTTTCATCTGGTCAGTCTATGTCATGGAAGGACCAGGTGTTCCTAATGTTTTGTACACTCAGTATACATCTGTGAAGATCAAAATGGACAGCCATTATATGGCTTTACAATAAGCTTACAGAAATGTTGATTCATGCAAATCATTTTGAACGTCTTATGACAGGACTATGACCTTTCATGTAGATATTATCTTGCATGTCGTGCTGGGCTTGTTAGACATGAAGAGAAGAAGCCTTGAAGCACATGCATGCAGTTATGGAGTGCAGAGTGGTTTGACCAACTTTTTTATTTACTCAGAACGGAATGTGAAGCTTTCCTTTAGGATAGATGTTTGCTTTGGCTTGAGGTGCTCAGTGCTGTAAGCATGCCAGTTTAGTTTGATCATCGTTTGGAAGATTTAGACCAACCTCACCAGCAACCAACAACAGTGTGGTGTTTCTGTGAATAGAACATGTTCACCTATTTTTCCTTGTTGACATCAATGCCAAGAGTAAAAACATTGAGTGAATCTGCCCTGCAGTTTGTTGAATTTGGCATTAATATCCAGTTAAAGGAATGATTACCACAGAAGAGATCTACTTATAGCATGTCCTGCCACGTTGTCCTGTTATGATACAGAGCTTAGTAAGCCTTACAGCCAAACAAGTCTTTTCTAAAGGAAAGGCGTAACAGCTTGTGTAATGGCTTGTTTCACCCACAGTATAGGGCCACGCCTCTGTATTGGGAGGGAGAAAGAAAATGAAAGAAAGAAAAACAGAAGAAGGGCAGACTGAGAGGCAGACTGAGAGGCAGACTGAGAGGCATACTGAGAGGCGGACTGAGAGGCGGACTGAGAGGCGGACTGAGAGGCAGACTGAGAGGCGGACTGAGAGGCAGACTGAGAAGCAGACTGAGACAGAGAATCCTCGTGTGACTTCCATGCCAAAGACAGCCAGAGGCTTTAAACTGTAGTCACATTGGATTTGAACTTGGCCCATGCTAGTAGCCGCCAGCCAGGCCAGAACAGGACAAGACAGTGTAGTTGAGATGGTAATCACTGCATCTCCCTGAGGTATAGTACTCTCTGGTTACTTTGGGATCTTTCCCAGTGACCAGATAATGTTTAGAATCAGGGTGAATAATCAGATCTTTAGTGGGATTATTCTGACAGGTTGTGATTGGTTACATTAATCTGTGCAGAGACAGAGATCATCAGATAGATGTGTGTCAGATAGTTGCCCTGTAACAGCCTTGTGAGCGTTATGGGCATATTTATGTTATCAGATTTCTGTCTGTGTTGGTTTTTTAGCTGGTTTATCAGTCAGCAGTGTGTGGCTGCCTGGGCGTGTGAGAGTGTTGAGTGACAGGAGCGGATCATTATAAAATAAATCAACTGATTTTATATGTCAGGTAAGGCTGATAGACAGATAATGTGAGTGGTAGAATCACAGTCACTCACCTGCTGCTATTGCCTATGACTGATTGGACCTTGTCTTTATGGTCCTGCTATGGTCTAGTTCCATATTATTGGACTTAGGTTCTGGTCATACCTGGTCTGGTTTCTATGGATACTTAGGTGTGTTGTTCCCTAGGAGACCCCAGGATGTGAGGTGGTCCCAGGAGAAGAATCATCATGGAAATGAAGTGGAAACTGACCAGTGCACTCAGACGCCGCTCAGTGCCAACAGTGTGGGGATAGAACAGACAGGTGAGACTACTCATACCCCTTAGAGACACAGGGGACTAGTGCTGAGCGATTATCAGTTCAATTACTTGAATTCCATTTAGTTCTGTGTTTTTGTGAGCCCAACGCGCCGTTTCTCTAGAGAGAAATCAAATCATTCACGAGAGAAATTGGAGAAATCAATTCAAGAACTATGTGGGCTGAAGGGAGTTGTAGTTTTCATTAAGTAAACTCAACCTAGGTCGGCGCAGAAACTTGGTAATTAAATACAATGACCATAATCCATTGCGCCAGTTTTTTCTGTCTCAGAGACAGATCAGAGAGGAAGAGGCGAAGCGAGAGGTTTCACTCTCGCCAAAATCTGTCCAAAATAAGCCCAATGTGTTTCTATGGGCTTATTTTGGACTTAAGCTTGTCGACTGCCTTCACGCCTTTGGAACAACGACTCCCATTGTTAGGGAATAGACATGAGCATCTCGTCATTGTATATAGATCTCTGGACGGATACACTTTTACGCCTGCTACATTAGGTTAGATACACATAGACCGCATAGACTGCATGAGAAAGGAATGTACACAACACAAGGACAAGAGGCACAGAGACAGTTTGTGAAAGTATACCTTATCTACTTTGAAGAACTAGTAAAATGATTTAGTCAGACAGCTCTGCAGCATACTCAGACAGGCTAGCTAAATAGGATGACTAAAGATTGTACAGTATGGGGAGCACATAACGTTAGATGGCCTGGCTGCCTGACTGCTACTGATGAGATGACTTTAAGGAATGAAAAATAATAGTAATTAAATAAAAACTAAGTAATATACACAACTGAAATATTTTTTATTTCATAGTAATTTCCTATTTCTCTATTGATGTCTACCCAATGTGGACCTGACAGAGCCAATGGAATAATTGAAGTTTTGGCAATTAAATGTTCACTATTTTTGACTTTGTAACGTCATTATTTCATAATAGGTTTCATGTTTTTTTTTTTATAATCGAAATCGAAACAGTGATTCTTTTTTAATAATCGAAAAGAACCGACCTCAAAAAGCACTACACGCTCAGCACTACAGGGGACACAACTGAGAGAACTTACAGCACTGTGCAGTGATATACCTGTCTGCTGCAGATCCACATGGACTGTTATATTAGGACCTATTACCTATTACAGGCGTAGCTATAAACTCTAAAAACTCTAATATCATATGTAATGTTTGTGACCAGAGCTAACTTTGAGGACCAGGGAGGAGAGTCACTGCCAACCTGCAGTTCTGACCAGGAACCCCAACCAGACCTGTTTTACATCCTCCCTCTCCTTCAGACTCTCCTCTCCACACAGCAAGAAACACGACCTGGAAAAACTACACAGGTGAGGCAGAGCATTTTTAGAGATTATACAGTGATGCATTTTTTTTTAATGGCCTTTCTCTTAAAGACACTCTATCCTTCTATCAGCATCTATGTACAGTACCAGTCAAAAGTTTGGACACACCTACTCATTCAAGGGTTTTTCTTTATTTTTACTGTTTTCTACATTGTAGAATAATAGTGAAGACATCAAAACTATGAAATAACACATATGGAAGAAATGTTAAACAAATTAAAATATATTTTAGATTCTTCAAAGTAGCCACCCTTTGCCTTGATGACAGCTTTGCACACTCTTGGCATTCTCTCAACCAGCTTCACCTGGAATGCTTTTCCAACAGTCTTGAAGGAGTTCCCACATATGCTGAGCACTTGTTGGCTGCTTATCCTTAGCTCTGCGGTCTGACTCATCCCAAACCATCTCAATTGGGTTAAGGTTGGGTGATTGTGGAGGCCAGGTCATCTGATGCAGCACTCCATCACTGTTATTCTTAGTCAAATAGCCCTTACACAGCCTGGAGGGGTGTTGGGTCATTGTCCTGTTGAAAAACAAATTATAGTCCCACTAAGCGCAAACCAGATGTGATAGCGTATCGATGCAGAATGCTGTGGTATCCATGCTGGTTAAGTGTGCCTTGAATTTTAAATAAATCACAGACAGTGTCACCAGCAAAGCACCCCCACACCATAACACCTCCTCCATGCTTTACGGTGGGAAATACACATGCAGTGATCAAAGGACACATTTCCACCTGTCTAATGTCCATTGCTCGTGTTTCTTGGCCCAAGCAAGTCTCTTCTTATTATTGGTATCCTTTAGTAGTGGTTTCTTTGCAGCAATTCGACCATGAAGGCCTGATTCACACAGTCTCCTCTGAACAGTTGATGTTGAGATATGTCTGTTCCTGGAACTCTGTGAAGCATTTATTTGGGCTGCAATTTCTGAGGCTGGTAACTCTAATGAACTTATCCACTGCAGCAGAGGTAACTCTGGGTCTTCCAGTCCTGTGGCGGTCCTCATGAGAGCCAGTTTCATCATAGCGCTTGATATTTTTTGCGACTGCACTTGAAGAAACTTTCAAAGTTCTTGAAATGTTCCGTATTGACTGACCTTCATGTCTTAAAGTAATGATGGACTGTTGTTTCTCTTTGCTGATTTGCCATAATATGGGACTTGGTCTTTTACCAAATAGGGCTATATTCTCTATACCCCCTCTACCTTGTCACAACACAACTGATTGGCTCAAACGCATTAAGAAGGAAATACATTCCACAAATTCACTTTTAAGAAGGCTCACCTGTTAATTGAAATGCATTCCAGGTGACTACCTAATGAAGCTGGTTGAGAGAATGCCAAGAGTGTGCAAAGCTGTCATCAAGGCAAAGGGTGGCTCCTTTGAAGAATCTCAAATATAACACTTTTGTGGTTACTACATGATTCCATATGTATTATTTCATAGTTTTGATGTCTTCACTATTATTCTACAATGTAGAAAATAGTAAAAATAAAGAAAAACCCTTGAATGAGTGGGTGTGTCCAAACATTGGACTGGTACTGTATGTGTACAGATAGATTAACAATAACACGGCTCCATAAATCAATGATATTAATGTAAACAGGTTTAACCAAGGTTAATTAGTTCCTTGGCCTGCTGTACTGAGGAAATACTTCAGATTGATTTCTTAGATATACTGTGTGTGTGTGTGTGTGTGTGTGTGTGTGTGTGTGTGTGTGTGTGTGTGTGTGTGTGTGTGTGTGTGTGTGTGTGTGTGTGTGTGTGTGTACACATACATGCGGGCATGATTCCGCGCGCGCTTGTGTAATATGTGTCAGAGATTAATGCAACTCTTATCAGTAGGAGTCATTTATCAAACACTGTCCCTTAGTAACAGACAACCTTTAACCTGGCTATCTCGTCACCTATCCATGTCAGCCCTTTAGACTGAGGCTACACACCTCTCAGCATCACATTATATAGTAGCACTGTGGCCCTGTGTGTGTGTGATTTAAGGCATTCAGTTATTAGTTCCTCTGTTCCACTATTGCTAACACAACCGTGCTGAAGATGTCTATATGGTGTCTGCTAAAACAGGACTAGTAAAGGCCCTTGGCACTACTTTTATGATTTTTGTTTTTTTAACTAAATGTATTTGTATTTGAGTGTTTACCAGCATTTGTAACTTGAGTCTGATAATTATCTGTACCAAACAGTTAATCTGATAATACTTGTGGAATATAAAAACACTTGTTATGTCTCCCAGTTTCTTGAAATACTTTGCAAATGCAACTTATTTCTATGTGAAAACTGAAATGGTCTATTCATTCCTTTTACATTTTAGTAGCTGCTCTTATCCAGACCAACTTACAGTAGTGAGGGCATACATTTTCATACTTTTTTGTACTGGTCCCCCGTGGGAATCAAACCCACAACCCTAGCGTTGCAAGCGCCAAGCTCTACCAACTCAGCCACATCATCACAAACCACTTGATGTCTCAATGTACTCAATTACTGTGTTGTGCATTGTTTTTCTTCATGGTGATGGAAAGTACAATACAGTAATGTAATTAATACTGCACAAAAAGTGGTTGTTTTCCATGTTATTTGATCAATAAAAATATTTAATTTAATGTATTTAATGTTTTGTGTCTTTTCCCATAACTTTGCACCTTTTGATGTAAATGTTTGAGGACATGGTTTTGTTCTTTCTGGATCCCATTAGAATGACAATAGCAGAGAGAGGGACAATTCCAACAATTGAATCTTGCAAAATACTGTTCTTAATTATACAACTACCTTTTTTTGCCAAAGCGGAGACGCTTAAATTTTTTTGTCTGTGCTACAGACAGCTACATACATCCATATCAGTTTGCTAATACCTCCTGAGTGGCGCAGTGATCTAAGGCAATGCATCGCAGTGCTAGCTGTGCCACTAGAAATCCTGTTTCAAATCCAGGCTCTGTCGTAGCCGGCCGCGACCGGGAGACCCATGGGGCGGCGCACAATTGGTCCAGGGTAGGGGATGGAATGGCCGGCAGGGATGTAGAGCATGGCGTTTGCAACGCCAGGGTTGTGGGTTCGATTCTCACAGGGGGCCAGTATGAAAAATAAAATTAAAAATAATGTATGCACTCACTAACTGTAAGTCGCTCTGGATAAGAGCTTCTGCTAAATGACTAAAATGAAATGAATGAAATGTAAAATGTCTAATACTAGTAAAGGCCCAGTGCACTACCTTTGTGAAAAAATATTTTCTCCAAAAATATTTTATTTTTTAATATTTTTTATTCTGATATTTGAGGGGGTGCTGCATCACCCTCAGCACCCCTACTTTCCGCGGCTATGAGCCCAGGTAAACATAAATCATGAAAGAAACAGTGAGAAAGGGAGAGATTGAGGAAAGACGAGGAGGGAGAGAATGAGTAATGGAGGTAAAGAGAGAAGATGGAATGTAGTTGATCCTGTGGATCGGGGTGAATGTGTAACGTGTGACGCCTGTAATCTTTACAAAAACATTAACACCCAGGAGGTGTGTCTGTGCATGCTTGTGTGTCTTACCTATGTTAGTGCATTCGGAAAGTATACAGACCCCTTGACTTTTTCCACATTTTGTTACGTTACAGCCTTATTCTCTGCAGATCCTCTCAAGCTCTGTCAGGTTGGATGGGGAGCGTCGCTGCACAGCTATTTTCAGGTCTCTCCGGAGATCAAATCAAATTTTATTTGTCACATGCGCCGAATACAACAGGTGGGTAGACGTTACCATGAAATGCTGACTTACAAGCCCTTAACCAACAATGCATTTCACAAAATAGTTAACAAAATATTTACTAAATAAACTAAAGTAAAAAATTAAATAAAAAGTAACACAAAATAACAATACCGAGGCTATATACAGGGGGTACCGGTACCGAGTCAATGTGCAGGGGTACAGGTTAGTTGAAGTAGTTTGTACATGTAGGTAGGGGTAAAGTGACTATGCATAGATAATAAACAGCAAGTAGCAGCAGTGTAAAATCAAAGGGGGAAGGTGTCAATGTAAATAGTCCGGGTGGCCATTTGATTAATTGTTCAGCAGTCTTATGGCTTGGGGGTAGAAGCTGTTAAGGAGCCTTTTGGACATAGACTTGGTGCTCTGTTACCGCTTGCCGTGCGGTAGCAGAGAGAACAGTCTGACTTGGATGACTGGAGTCTTTGACAATTTTTTGGGCCTTCCTCTGACACCACCTAGTATATAGGTCCTGGATGGCAGGAAGCTTGGCCCCAGTGATGTACTGGGCTGTACGCACCACCCTCTGTAGCGCCTTACGGTCGGATGCCGAGCAGTTGCCATACCAGGCGGTGATGCAACCGGTCAGGATGCTCTTGGTGGTGCAGCTGTAGAACTTTTTGAGGAACTGGGGACCCATTCCAAATATTTTCGGTCTCCTGAGGGGGGAAAAGGTGTTCTCGTGCCCTCTTCACGACTGTCTTGGTGTGTTTGGACCATAATAGTTTGTTGGTTATGTGGACACCAACGAACTTGAAACTCTCGACCCGCTCCACTACAGCCCGTCGATGTGAATGGGGGCATGTTCGGCCCTCCTTTTCCTGTATCAGCTCCTTTGTCTTGCTCACGTTGAGGGAGAGGTTGTTGTCCTGGCACCATACTGCCAGGTCTCTGACGACCTCCCTATAGGCTGTCTCATCGTTGTTGGTGATCAGGCCTACCACTGTTGTATCGTCAGCAAACGTAATGATGGTGTTGGAGTCGTGCTTGGCCACGCAGTCGTGGGTGAACAGGGGGTACAGGAGGGAACTAAGCACGCACCCCTGAGGGGCCCCCGTGTTGGGGATCAGCGTGGCAGATGTGTTGTTGCCTACCCTTACCACCTGGGGGCGGCCCGTCAGGAAGTACAGGATCCAATTGCAGAGGGAGGTGTTTAGTCCCAGGGTTCTTAGCTTAGTGATGAGCTTTGAGGGCACTATGGTGTTGAACGCTGAGCTGTAGTCAATTAACAGCATTCTCACATAGGTGTTCCTTTTATCCAGGTGGGAAAGGGCAGTGTGGCGTGCGATTGAGATTGCATCATCTGTGGATCTGTTGGGGCGGTATGCGAATTGGAGTGGGTCTAGGGCTACCGACGTTAGTGCTACGGGGCGGAAGTCATTTAGGCAGGGTACCTTCGCTTTCTTGGGCACAGGGACTATGGTGGTCTGCTTGAAACATGTAGGTATTACAGACTCGGTCAGGGAGATGTTGAACATTTCAGTGAAGACATTTGCCAGTTGGTCCACGCATGCTCTGAGCACACGTCCTGGTAATCCGTCTGGCCCCGCGGCCTTGTGAATGTTGACCTGTTTAAAGGTCTTGCTCACATCGGCTACGGAGAGCGTGATCACACAGTCGTCCGGAACAGCTGGTGCTCTCATGCATGCTTCAGTGCTTGCCTCAAAGCGAGTATAAAAGGCATTTAGCTCGTCTGGTAGGCTCGCGTCACTGGGCAGCTCGCGGCTGGGTTTCACTTTGTAGTCCGTAATAGTTTGCAAGCCCTGCCACGTCCGACGAGTGTCAGAGCTAGTGTAGTAGGATTCAATCTTATTCCTGTATTGATGCTTTGCCTGTTTGATGGTTCGTCTGAGGGCATAGCGGGATTTCTTATAAGTGTCCTGATTAGTGTCCCGCTCCTTGAAAGCGGCAGCTCTAGCCTTTTAGCTCGGTGCGGATGTTGCCTGTAATCCATGGCTTCTGGTTGGGATATGCACATATTGATGAAGCCGGTGACTGAGGTGGTCACTGGTACTTCCAGCTTTAGTTTTTGCTTGTAAGCAGGAATCAGGAGGATAAAATGATGGTCAGATTTGACAAATGGAGGGCGAGGGAGAGCTTTGTATGCATCTCTGTGTGTGGAGTAAAGGTGGTCAAGAGTTTTTTTTCCTCTGGTTGCACGTGTGACATGCTGGTAAAAATGAGGTAAAACAGATTTAAATTTGCCTGTATTAAGGTCTCCGGCCACTAGGAGCGACGCTTCTGGATGAGCATTTTCTTGTTTGCTTATGGCCTTATGCAGCTCGTTGAGTGCGGTCTTAGTGCCAGCATCAGTTTGTGGTGGTAATAGAGATAAACTCTCTTGGTAGATAGTGTGGTCTACAGTTTATCATGAGGTACTCTACCTCAGGCATTAGATCGGGTTCAAGTCCGGGCTCTGGCTGGGCCACTCAAGGACATTCAGAGACTTGTCCCGAAGCCACTCCTGCGTTGTATTGGCTGTGTGCTTAGGGTCGTTGCCCTGTTGGAAGGTGAACCATCGCCCAGTCTGAGGTCCTGAGCGCTCTGGAGCAGGTTTTCATCAAGGATCTCCCTGTACTTTGCTCCGTTCATCTTTCCCTCAAACCTGACTAGTCTCCCACAGCATGATGCTGTCACCACCATGCTTCACCGTAGGGATGGTGCCAGGTTTCCTCCAGACGTGATGCTTGGCATTCAGGTCAAAGAGTTAAATATTGGTTTCATCAGACTAGAGAATCTTGTTTCTCATGGTCTGAGTCCTTTAGGTGCCTTTTGGAAAACTCCAAGCGGGCTGTCATGTGCCTTTTACTGAGGAGTGGCTTCCGTCTGGCCACCATAAAGGCCTGATTGGTGGAGTGCTGCATAGATGTTTACCCTTCTGGAAGGTTCTCCCATCTCCACAGAGGAACTCTGAAGCTCTGTCAGAGTGACCATCGGGTTCTTGGTCACCCCCCTGACCAAGGCCCTTTTCCCCCTGATTGCTCAGTTTGGCTGGGCGGTCAGCTCTAGGATGAGTCTTGGTGGTTCCAAACGTCTTCCATTTAAGAATGATGGAGGCCACTGTGTTCCTTGGGGACTTTCAATGCTGCAGACATTTTTTGGTACCCTTCCCCAGATCTGTGCCTCGACACAATCCTGTCTCGGAGTTCTACGGACAAATCCTTCGACCTCATGGCTTGGTTTTTGCTCTGACATGCACTGTCAACTATGGGACCTTATATAGACAGGTGTGTGCCTTTCCAAATCATGTCCAATCAATTGAATTTACCACAGGTGGACTCCAATCAAGTTGTAGAAACATCTCAAGGATGATCAATGGAAACAGGATGCACCTGAGCTCAATTTTGAGTGTCATAGCAAAGGGTCTGAATACATATGTAAATAAGGTATCTGTTTTTTAGTTGTAATACATTTGCTAACATTTCTAAAAAACAGTTTTTGCTTTGTCATTATGGGGTATTTATTGTGTGTAGATTGAGGAAACAATCTAATTCAATCTATTTTAGAATAAGGCTGTAATGTAACAAAATGTGGAAAAAGTCAAGGGGTTTGAATACTTTCCGAATGCACTGTATAACCATTAACGGTCTTTCTAATGATGTGTTATGTTTTTCTCTACATTTCCCTGCTGCGCCAGTTCTCAGGGAGCTGTAAGGAACACACCAATAGCTCATGCACAGGTAAACAAGCATGACCATTTAGTGACAACACAACAGTCATGTTATTAATAGTCATTACAGTTAATGTCACCAGTTTGTGTCATTACAGTGTTGCCATTAGCCAACATCAACTGTCATGACTGCTAATGGCATCTGCTATATTAAGTCATTATAACAACAGCGCCATGGAGGCCATATTATAAACGGTTCAATTAAACTGTTGACACATAATCAATGTCAGTTTGAACATTGTGTAATCTGAAAACAACCAACATGAATGCCAGTTTGGAGAGGAGAAAAGTTGTGTTTCTGTGTAAATCTCATGTACTTGGAAATAACCTGTTGGTCCAGTCTAATTATCTTAACATTTCCATGGGAACATGACTCCTGCAACGCTCCAGTTTCAATAAGTACATTATTTGGATTTCAAAGTCAGATTAAAGGCGTTGTCAAACACAAATGCTCTACCACTCAGCCTGCATAGCTTTGGGAGGCGTGGAGTGACATGCCAGAGTATTGACATAAGAAAACCATTACATGCTGCAGTTTGATCTAGGGCCATAGACTTGACATGTTTGACGTTGCATAACTAAAAGCAAAACAGTTCAATGATAGATTCTCTTTTTCATGGAAAACCTTTGGCTGTGAGGTTAATGCTTAACAGATCCCTAATTGTTGAAATCAATATAATCTGATTGGAACTTTGAACTTTCTCGATAGGTAAAAGGAAAAGTCTCAGCATCGGATTATTTTATTCCAGCCAATCGCCCTTCAGAGGAAGAGGAAGTGACATCGCTTCCTTTTAAAGAGGAAGAGGATTCCGAGACAGCCATGTTGTCCTCCACGCTGGTGTCGGTTCTCGCCCCACAGTGGAGTGGCCGACTACGCAGGAACAAGCGGGGTGTGGCCGGTACAGACATTGGTGTGGTTGGCACGGCAACCAGTGAGTCTGGACAGGAAACCCAAGGTAGCGGACAGGAAGTGAGGGAGGGGATAATGCTTTTGAAGCCGCAAGTCCCTCTCGAGACAGACTCTGTAGGACAACGGCAACAACAACAGTTTCTGGAGACCCAGAACCAACGTGTTGGGGAGAGGGGGTTGACCCTTGGATCACAAGCCCATGAGAAGGCTTCAACACTGGGTAGCAGCAGAAGCACAATGGGGGGCTGGTATGAGGGAAGCACTCCCAGCCTCAAACTGGACAACCCAACAAAGTCCCCAGTTTCTAAGCCTGTCTCTCTGGATGTGAGTTGGGGGAGGCTGGTCAACAGAGGGGAAAAGGGGGGAGCTGTCTCCCCTGTTACTCCCAGCTCTCCCCTCTCTCCCGACCTGCATGTACACAAGGGAATGTTACAGGCCGGTCGTCAAGGAGACCAGACATCATTGCTGAATTCCAAACCAACAACCAGTAGCCTTCTTTTCTCTCTGAGGAGGCTCAACACTATTGCTAGCTCTACCCACTCAGAGACCAATATCTCCTCTCCAACCAATAACAGGCCCCTCCCCTTACCAACTTCCAATCACAGAGAAGCAAATACACACAGGACACACCTATTTTCAACCTTGCCCAATTACAAAGACACAGAGGGCACACCCTTTACCAAACTACCCCAGACTTCCAGGGCATATCCAAACCCAACCTTCCCCAGCAAGCAGGCTCTTCTGTTTAGTGGTCTAGAGAGACTTTCCCCCTCAGAGAGACCAGATGGAACCACGGTTCCCATCAATGATACTCATCTTCCTTCCTCTCCACCGTCCCAATATGACCACCTGGATTTTCAAAGGAGCCAGTCTCTTCCCAGAGGAACCACCCTGAGATCTACTAGCTGGAGAAATCACATTACTCTGGAGGACAGTGTGTCTAATCCCAGTTCCCCCCTCAGTCCCACTACCACCACCACCACTATCAACAACAACAACAACACATCCAGCCTCTCAAGCACTTCCAGCAATAATATCACAGGCCCCTCTAGCACCAATGATAACACTGGTGTCAATCTCCAAAGCAGCATCAATAACAACAATAACTTAGTCACCCCCAACAATACCAACCTAAACATCAATACTGTCACTGGCAAACACTCAACTCCGAGCACCCTTATAAGGACTTATGCTCAAGATATCCCAGACCAGGATTCCTATAGAATACTCAAAACTCAGGATTCCCTTAACTCGAATGACCGACAATCACAAAAGCCCTATTTTGTCCAATATCTCCTTCAGCTCTAACATCAGTAGCCCAGCTAGCTCGAGCACTTTGAGTAGCCCAATAAAGTCCAGCAAGCCTGATCGCTACAGTAGACCATCAAGTTATGACACCATCTACACCCCTCTGACCGTATTTAGCCCCAACTCCCCCAAGACTCCAACCCGCACTGAAACCAGCGACACTCTATCCTCCCTCAGTAGTCATAGAATCCTTTATAAGTCCCATTCCCCAAACCCCTCTTCCAGACAGCTCTCTGCACAAACCAGTAACGCCCCCACATCCCTCAGTAGCCACAGACCCCTCTATAGTTCCTGCTCATTCAATACCACCAGCTCTATGAGCCAAGACCCACAAAACACCCCAAAATCTCCACCCCCGGTCGTCAGAAGCCAGATTCCCATATTGAGTAACACCCACACCCCCACATCCCAACTGCAGGCACCTAAAACTGCTTACACCCCTACCACAACCCCCCAAGCACTCATACTTAAAACCGCCTACGTCCCCAGTATCCCGACCCCCACCCGCTACACCCGACCGTTGTCCCCAGCCAGCTACACCCCCATATCTCTGAGTATCACCACCACCCAGGCCCCCTCCACCCTTCCCCTCTCCCCACCCAGCTCATCCCCTCTGGTGGAGAGGACATTCAAGGGCAGCCTGGACCTCTCCCCTAACAAACACCAGCCCCCAGTGGAAGGGAGGGTAACAGCACATAGAGCGTGGCAGGAGTCTCTGGAGCCACAACGCTCTGAGGAAAGCAGTAGGAGGCTGTCACAGTCTCATTCACCTCAGAGCCCTCTGTCCCCAACCAGACCCCTCCGTAGTGTAGGGGGTCCCGCCATCTTCTCCTCCCTGAGATCGGGCAGCCCAACCTGGGCTACATCACCTTTGTCTCCCCCAACTCCCAGGACCACCAAACTACAACTTTGGAGGGGAACCTCGATGCACAACTTATCCATAATATCTGATACGTTAGTGAAGGAGGGAGGGCAAGCTCTCTCAGAGCGTGTTAGCGACCACACTTCACAGTTCACATTCAACCACACAGGAACCGACTCGACCGCACTAGGACCACAGAGGAAGACCGCTGCTCCTCTCTCCCTTCCCAATTTTGAGAGCTTTTACAAACCAAGAATTAGCTCCCCACCCTACTCCACACTCAAGTCTTCAAGCCCAACACTGGGTGAGGTCACACACACAACCTCACCCCAACCCCTTCTCTCACCCCCTACCTCACCCCAACACTACCCCTTCTACAGCCATCACAGGGCTAGGTCACAGAACAGTTCAAAGATTGTTGCCTTAGAAATGGATTGTGTCAACAACAACTCCAAACAGACCAGTCAAGAAAATGTTGAGACACTTGTGTACAGGATTTCTAAAGTTGATTCCTCTGCCATATTGGACAGTATTAGGCCTGCACAGCCCTGTTTTCCTCGACACACCCCAGACACACGAGTCGTCACAGAGATAAAGTCCAATGAACACTCCCGTCTCCCCTCACAACACAGCCAGGTGATTGGAAGTCCCAGCTGTCAATCATACCAAAGCTCCAATGACAGTGGAGCATTAGACACTGAGAAGGTTGTGTGTAAAAGAGAGAGATTCCCTAAGAGTGCAGTGGCTCCATTACAAACCCAGAGCCCAAAGAAAGGCTTATTCTCACTGAGGAGTAAGAGAGACAATGTTGTTGGTACACCTGCTGCCAATCTCCCTAGAAACCCAGAGATACCTCAGACTGAGAAACCAAAGAAAGAATCAGAGAAGTCGCAGAAGGAAAGTAGCAAAATGGACCTGGTGCTGAGTCGACTCCGGCAGACCTTCAGAGTCAAATGTCTCGATGAAGAGAGGAGGAAGAGAACACCCCAGCCTCTTTCTGTCAGAGGAGCCAGTGACAGTGATGTCACTGAGAGTAGTGGTTCTAGCGATCGAGCAGAGGAGGAGAGAAAGGAGAAATGGAGGGAGAATGATGAGGTTCTCAAACCTTCAAACTCTTTCTGGGCTGGCAGTGAGCACACATCAGATATGACTAAGGAAAATGAACACTCACAGTTTGAGGGTTTTAAAGACAATGAAGAGGCTAGAAACAGAGACCAGCCTCGTGTTATGGACCTTCCTCAATTTGAGGCTTACAAGGACGAAAGCGTCACTAAACCCAAAAACCAACCTTCTAGTAGAGAGATCAGCCCAACGAGGCGGCAGTTTGACGCTTACAAAGAGGAGAGTATCAGTAGAGCCAGAAAGCAACCTCCTCAGAGAGCCTTCAGCTCCGTTAGGTGTCAACCCTGGGACCAAAGCCGCTCTGCAACCCTCCCTGCCTACAGAACCTCCTCAGGCAGCCCCAGAAACACTTTCTCTGTCTTCCACTTCAGCCACAAGGACTCTGAGAACGACAACGTGTTCCACATTCCCAGGTTTCCTCAGAGGAAGAAGACCACCTCTCTCTGTGAGCCAGGGGACAGAGGGTTCGGTTCCGGGGTGGGTCAGCATGGCAGTGAGGGACGTCTGGCATCCTTCTCCTCCTGTGCTGATCTCAAATACGGTCTGGAGGCTGTGCGTTCCTTCTCTGTGACTTCTGTGCTCTCCAGCCGACCCTCGGGTCCTGGCCGCATCTCCACAGGCCCTAGGGTCAGCAGTGTCAGTGACCTCACTTACCCCGCTCTGACCTTTGGAGAAGAGGTCATGACTTGGGATGACTTTAGGGTCAAAGGTGATTGGACAATACCAATGTGGGACACACACACAACCACTGGCCACAAAACCACAGGTGACAACCAAGCTGTAGATGAGTGGTCCGTCATTAGTGACAGGACATCCAAAAATGAGCGCAAAACAATCAAAGCAAATTTTATAAATCCACACAAGGCTAGATCCAAATCCTTACCCAGAAATGTATCCTGGAGTTCACAGGTCACCGCCCCATCTCCGACCTCCACCACTGGCCGCATGTGGAACCCCGACAGCCTGGAGACCTCTCACTTCCTGTGGGATACAGAGGGTCCTCTAACCCCCCCTCCGTCCCCTCCCTGGTCCCCAGCCTCCAGACGCATATCTCGCCCCCCCAGCTCCTCCTCCTCTGCCTCTCCCTCCCCCACAGACAGCAGGGCGTCACAGGACAGCCTGTCCCCTAGGGGGCGCCTACCCTCCAGGGGCTACGTCTCCAACCTGGCAGCCTTCGAGGAGTCCGACTCAGGCTCTGACATGGACTCTGACACAACCACAGATGATGAATACTACTTGGCAGGTGATGGCGGTGAGAAGGAGACAGAACTGTGAGAAGAAATACTGTATGGGATGCATCTTAATAGTCTAAAGTGGGTCTGTCTATCTCCTTTTGGTCTCCTTATATAGAAAGGATACATACAAACCTAGTTATGCTCACTAAAAACGGACTTGTTAAGTGTGCATGGCTGACAGTAAAGACAGCACTGTCATAGTGAACATGATATCATATCACAGGTTAATGTCGTGCTTTTATACTGGGATCCAAAGAGCAGCTTATCACATGAACTCCACACCACATCCAAGAGCATGGCACTTTGTTTGTTTTGTCATGTCGCAGGTTGGTTAGATATATGGGCCTCTCACTCTAGCTATAAAGCTATCCTGTCCTGTTTTAATACTTATGCAGCTATTCTGATCAGGGCCTTTATTCACAAAGCATCTTAGAGTAGGAGTGCTGATCTAGGATCAGGTCCCTCTGTACATACACACATATTCATTGTGATCTGCAAGCCAAAACTGATCTTAGATGAGCACTCCTAAACTAAGACTTGTGAATACGGGTCCTGTTGTGGTAGCGCCCTGCACCCGGTGAGAGGAATACCTACCATACTTAGTTTGACCGGGGTCACATTTCATTGTCAAGTGCTGCTTATCAATACGCTTTAAGCTAGCATGCTATATGATATGCAAGGTAAATATCTTTGAATGTTTTAATTCTCATGGAAATCAGTATTTTCTATTTTGGTTGTCATGGAAGGTTTTCCTGAAATGCGTATGTGTGCATTATAAACAGATGATTGTTATTCAACTTTTGTGAATTAATTTTTGTGCAATTCAACAGTTGTTTTGGATCAAGTATATTATAAATATATTGTGGATGAACAATAAACCATTTCTAATTGTGTATCTGCCCCAATGTATTATATTTATATCAAACTGTTATGTCCAACTATCATATCTAACCAAAGACTGTGTGCTGTGACATTAGTGTTTTGACTTTCCCCTTGCATACCTGAATAGTTATGCCTGCCACCAACACCAGAAGAGCAGGCCTACCAAACCACATTCCAACTATAATAATGGACCTAGACTAACAATATTGAACACAAAGCCTTATTACATACTTGCTGCTTTAAATAGTGCATTTAACCAGTGTGTAGGTGGGGCTATTTAGCTATATTTTACTAAAGAGGGTGTTTTCTCAGTATTCCAATTACAATGCTGTTAGAATACCGCGATATAGTCATTTGTCTGTGTGGTTAGCAGGATAGAGTGCAGCTGGTCACAGTTAACTTTGGCCATTTTCTATGATGTCACTTGGAAAGGGCCACACAGGCCTACACACCCAGAACAATGTGAACAGTATTAGACATCTTGACCTCTTCGACCATCTTGGACTTCATTTGTGTTCAGTGTGTCTGTTCAAACTCTGTCTGTTTGTGTCCGTGTCTATAGTGTTTTCCACATTGATTATTAATAGGTAATGCAATGTTATGTATACAACACAGGAGGTTGGTGGCAGCTTAATGGGGGAGAACTGGCTCGTGGTAATGTCTGGAGCGGAATCAGTGGAATGGTATTAAATACATCAAGCACATGGTTTCCAGGTGTTTGATGCCATTCCTTTGGCTCCGTTCCAGCCATTATTATACGCCATTCTCCCCTCAGCAGCCTCCTGTGGTATACAATGTTATGTACAGTGCATTCGGAAAGTATTCAGACCCCTTGACTTTTTCCACATTTTGTTACCTTACAGCCTTATTCTAAAATGGATTTAAAAAAAAAAATAGATTCCTTATCAATCTAAACACAATACCCCATAATGGCGAAGCGAAAACAGGTTTTAGACATTTTTGCACATTTATATTTTAAAAAAAAGGTATTCAAACCCTTTGCTAAGAGACTCGAAATTGAGCTCCAATACATCCTGTTTCCATTGATCATCCTTGAGATGTTTCTTCAACTTGATTGGAGTCCACCTGTGGTAAATTCAATTGATTGGACATGATTTGGAAAGGCACACCTCTCTATATAAGGTCCCACAGTTGACAGTGCATGTCAGAGCAAAAACCAAGCCATGAGATCGAAGAAATTGTCCGTAGAGCGCCAAGAAAGGATTGTGTCCAGGCACAGATCTAGGGAAAGGTACCAAAACATTTCTGCAGCATTGAAGGTCCCCAAGAACACAGTGGCCTCCATCATTCTTAAATGGAAGAAGTTTGGAACCACCAAGACTCATCCTAGAGCTGGCTGCCCGGCCAAACTGAGCAATCGGGGGAGAAGGGCCTTGGTCAGGGAGGTGACCAAGAACACGATGGTCCAGAGTTCCTCTGTGGCGATGGGAGAACCTTCCAGAAGGACAACCATTTCTGCAGCACTCCACCAATCAGGCCTTTATGGTAGAGTGGCCAGACGGAAGCCACTCCTCAATAAAAGGCACATGACAGCCCGCTTGGAGTTTGCCCAAAGGCACCTAAAGGACTCTCAGACCATGTGAAACAAGATTCTCTGGTCTGATGAAACCAAGATTGAACTCTTTGGCCTGAATGCCAAGCGTCACGTCTGGAGAAAACCTGGCACCATCCCTACGGTGAAGCATGGTCGTGGCAGCATAATGCTGTGGGGATGTTTTTCAGCGGCAGGGACAGGGAGACTAGTCAGGATCGAGGGAAAAATGAATGGAGCAAAGAACAGAGAGTTCCTTGATGAAAGCTGGTCGAGAGTGCTCAGGACCTCAGACTGGGGCGAAGGTTCACTTTCCAACAGGACAATGACACTAAGCACACAGCCAAGACCATGCAGGAGTGGCCTCGGGACAGGTCTCTGAATGTCCTTGAGTGGCCCAGCCAGAGCCCGGACTTGAACCCGATCGAACATCTCTGGAGAGACCTGAAAATGGCTGTGCAGGGACACTCCCCATCCAACCTGACAGAGCTTGAGAGGATCTGCAGAGAAGAATGGGAGAAACTCCCCAAATATAATAATATGCCATTTAGCAGACGCTTTTATCCAAAGCGACTTACAGTCATGCGTGCATACATATTTTTTTTTTTGTGTATGGGTGGTCCCGGGGATCGAACCCACTACCTTAGCGTTACAAGCGCCGTGCTCTACCAGCTGAGCTACAGAGGACCACAATACAGGTGTGCCAAGCTTGTAGAGTCATACCCAAGAAGACTCGAAGCTGTAATCACTGCCAAAGGTGCTTCAACAAAGTACTGAGTAAAGGGTCTAAATACTTATGTAAATGTGATATTGCAGTTTTAGATTTTGTATACATTTAATACAAAAACCTATGTTTGCTTTGTCATTACGGGGTATTGTGTGTAGATTGATGAGGGGAAAAAACAATTTAATCAATTTTAGATTAAGGCTATAACGTAACAACATTTGGAAAAAGTCAAGGGGTCTGAATAGTTTCCGAATGCACTGTATGTATGGCTCTCAGGTGACATTGAATATGTATTCAGTGGGCGTAAGTGCTATCAGCAGCGCTCATGGTATTACATGCATGCACCTGCTTGTCTCTGCCGCTACACTTCAAAGTACTTCTCCCCACTACAGCTCAACCTGTCAGCACAACAACAACATTCGAAAGGGCGTCTCCTAATAGTTATTACATAATGATGGGTTATTAAAATTAAAATTAAAATGGTCATTTGAAAAATATTACCTTTCTCTTCTCCCCTCCCATCCTCCCTCATCTTTCCGTCTACCTCACACCCTGGCAAGGTTTCTCGCTCTCTCTGTCTCTCTGTCTCCCTCCTCTCTCTCACATATTCTGGCAAGGGTTCTAGAGTCATTGTTTCCCATAGCTGTTGGGTGGAATGCAGTCTCAGTCACAACATTGGGTGCAGGTGTGTGGTGTTCACTGTTTGGCAGGCAGGAGACAGCTACACCCCAAAGTAAGTGTGAGAATCTCTTTCTCTGTTTCATGTAATGTACAGTACCAGTCAAAAGTTTGGACACCTACTCATTCAAGGGTTTTTCTTTATTTTTACTATTTTCTACATTGTAGAATAATAGTGAAGACATCAAAACTATGAAATAACACATATGGAATCATGTAGTAACCAAAAAAGTGTTGTACAAACAATAGTACGCAAGTATAAACACCATGGGACCACGCATCCGTCACACCGCTCAGGAAGGAGGCGTGTTCTGTCTACTAGAGATGAACGTACTTTGGTGCGAAAAGTGCAAATCAATCCCAGAACAACAGAAAAGGACCTTGTGAAGATGCTGGAGGAAACAGGTACAAAAGTATGTATATCCACAGTAAAACGAGTCCTATGTCGACATAACCTGAAAGGCCGCTCAGCAAGGAAGAAGCCACTGCTCCAAAACCGCCATAAAAAAGCCATATTACAGTTTGCAACTGCACATGGGGACAAAGATATTTTTGGAGAAATGTCCTCTGGTCTGATGAAAAAAAATAGAACTGTTTGGCCATAATGACCATCGTTATGTTTGGAGGAAAAAGGGGAATGCTTGCAAGCGTTTAGAACACCATCCCAACCGTGAAGCACGGGGGTGGCAGCATCATGCTGTGGGGGTGCTTTGCTGCAGGAGGGACTGGTGCACTTCACAAAATAGATGGCATCATGAGGAAGGAAAATTATGTGGATATATTGAAGCAACATCTCAAGACATCTGTCAGGAAGTTAAAGCTTGGTCGCAAATGGGTCTTCCAAATGGACAATGACCCCAAGCACACTTCCAAAGTTGTGGCAAAATGGCTTAAGGACAACAAGTCAAGGTATTGGAGTGGCCATCACTAAGCCCTGACCTCAATCCTATAGAAAATGTGTGGGCAGAACTGATATTGCTCTTTGCGAGCAAGGAGGTCTACAAACCTGACTCAGTTACACCAGCTCTGTCAGGAGGAATGGGCCAAAATCCACCCAACTTATTGTGGGAAGCTTGTGGAAGGCTACCCTACACATTTGACCCAAGTTAAACAATTTAAAGGCAATGCTACCAAATACTAATTGAGTGTATGTAAACTTCAGACCCACTGGGAATGTGATGAAAGAAAAAAAGCTGACATA